AGTGGTCTCATTCGACACCAGCAACACATACAGCAAGCGTATCAAACAGCAGCGGCGCTACTACACTGCGAATAACGTCCGATGCATACGGGATTTCCATCTTTGGAATGGTGGCACCGTGAGACTGGCTGGTGGGAAGTTTGTATTGATCCAAACCGAGCTATGGCGATGTCGTGACCGATGGGAGACTATCCGCGTCGGGATGACGCTGCGTCGGTCCAAATGAGACTATTGGCGTCGATAAGACCGCTCCACCTGCTTGGCCGCGCACACGTTAACTTCGCATTCGTTCGACGTGCTTACATATGATATACGACAGGGTAACCGATACGATGGTACTTATGCAATGAGCGATGAGCTTGACTTGGTTGAGAGAGTGCAGCGAATCAATGAGATTCTTTGACATGAAATTTATAGCACACTATCGACTTCAAACACCAGTCGGCGAAGCAATAGTATACTTGCAACTACAATTGATGTAAAAATCAATCGATGGCGAGCGAATCATTACGTACTCGCAAAAAAAATTGAGAAGCTTTGATTTCCACAAGACTTTCCATTGCACTATTTATGGGACCTATACCATGAACGGTAATCATAAAGCGTCTACTATTCGACTTGTACCGATGACAGATTTCCTGAAGCGTTGTCTACTTGACTGAAACCTCCGGGACCTAAGGTACGGCTGTAATACGTTTATCGGCTGAGTGCAGCCTTCAGTAGTAGCTATAGCCCTGTGTGTGAGCATGCTGGTCCATAAGGACCAACACGACACTAGCACGCATGTCCGCATTACCCGGATAGCCTTTCGCAGTCCACCTCAATTCCGTTCCTCTCTCATCAACACATGTGACTACTACACCCGCTTTTACTTCGTAGCAGCTACATCGGTGTAGTGATTTCGTTGGGCATCACACAGAGGGTCACGGTCATCGAACCGAAACAGAGCAGCGTATGTAAACACTAGTCTATCGATCTCTCTCAAAATGGCTGCCAAAACATCCAAATGAATGAATGCGATCCTTCTTCCAAGAAATCAAATTGAGACGAGAACCTCACGTCCGACAAGTGAGTTTCACATGCTAAACCCGTAAGAGAGGTTGCGTTTTCTCCTTGCCGGGCAAACCTTGAAAACGGGCAACCATACATTTACGTGGGTGATAATTCGCGTTGCAGATGTCCCCAATTCTGTAAGTAGTAGTTAAAAAAGTGTTTGATATACGGCATTCCGTGGCTAAGTGGGTCCCCCGATTCCTTCTGCTCATCCACATACTTAAGCAGCCGCGCCCATAATTGGCGGCTGTTAAACTCCTAGGTTGACGCGAGCGCTCAGTAGATGATGCTTGTGGGCGAAGTAGCAAAATCAAAAGTGAGTTTAATATTGTGTGTTATCTCTTCTCTTCTGTGCGCTTACATCGTCGCTTGCTATCGATTCCTTTACATCTTTACCTAGCTGACCGTCCATTTAACGAACCAATCATCATTTATGGTCACGCTGACCATCTATTTTATTAACCAATCATTGGTCATTGTCGAGTTCCCTTTCTCTCTGATGTGTGTCACAAAGTCTTGGATCGGACAATGGTCAGAGAAGTGGGTACGTCACTGCCTGACAGGACAACGCTGGTGAACCCCATCACACCAAGGCCTGAAGGCTTCACTTAATGGATGACACTGGGTCTCGAACGACCTCTGGTATACCTCTGCCGAGGTCTCCCACTTAGTCTGCACCACTGTTGCACCTTATCGCACTTAGTTACTTACATCTGATTGTACTTTCTCAGCGCAATCTGTAACGCACATATACACGCCAGCATACAAACTCCCTCCACATGCACGAGCTGCATCACCTTATGCCAACAGCAGCCATTCATCACAGTTCAATACAAGCCATAAGACGTTCTTTTGTGTAGAAACACTGCATGAGCGAACGGAATTTCAGAATAACTAATGGTCTCTATTATTTCTGCGCTCACGGAGTCCACTTGTGGCGCTTTTTATCTTCGTGCGGAAAGTATTGAAGAGAAAGGTCGAGCGTCCATCAAAACGGTGCAGAAGCTTTTGTGAGTGTAAAATAAAGCCGACATGACACCGACATGCGTCGAGCGATGAAAAATGTTTCGTGATGTGAGGTCAGCAGCGGAGCGGATTGTCCTTGTTTAACAGGCATTCGATACGAGTAGTGCGGTACGTTTGCTTTGTATTTGTTTTTTGTTTGCAATAGTGGCTCGAGTGACCGTGTCGGGCATTGTGTGTGCATGAAACGAGCAGCAACGATGAGAGCACCGTTGGTCTAATGGTTAGGATTCATCCCTTCCAAGGATGAGGTCGGGGTTTGATTCCCCGACGGTGCACTTTTGCTGTAACACGCAACCTCATCATCATGCTTCAGGCTCTCCTGACTTTTACACTTGCATATTCTTCTGGGCATAACGCCTTAGACGGCGACTATGACGTTCACCGAGTCTGCGACATTACGATTGCGGAGACGAATTGTATAGGGTACGACCGAGTGAGCCGTATTTCAAACAGTACACATGTGCGTGAGAGCGTTCGGACTTTAGTAGTGGTCTCATTCGACACCAGCAACACATACAGCAAGCGTATCAAACAGCAGCGGCGCTACTACACTGCGAATAACGTCCGATGCATACGGGATTTCCATCTTTGGAATGGTGGCACCGTGAGACTGGCTGGTGGGAAGTTTGTATTGATCCAAACCGAGCTATGGCGATGTCGTGACCGATGGGAGACTATCCGCGTCGGGATGACGCTGCGTCGGTCCAAATGAGACTATTGGCGTCGATAAGACCGCTCCACCTGCTTGGCCGCGCACACGTTAACTTCGCATTCGTTCGACGTGCTTACATATGATATACGACAGGGTAACCGATACGATGGTACTTATGCAATGAGCGATGAGCTTGACTTGGTTGAGAGAGTGCAGCGAATCAATGAGATTCTTTGACATGAAATTTATAGCACACTATCGACTTCAAACACCAGTCGGCGAAGCAATAGTATACTTGCAACTACAATTGATGTAAAAATCAATCGATGGCGAGCGAATCATTACGTACTCGCAAAAAAATTGAGAAGCTTTGATTTCCACAAGACTTTCCATTGCACTATTTATGGGACCTATACCATGAACGGTAATCATAAAGCGTCTACTATTCGACTTGTACCGATGACAGATTTCCTGAAGCGTTGTCTACTTGACTGAAACCTCCGGGACCTAAGGTACGGCTGTAATACGTTTATCGGCTGAGTGCAGCCTTCAGTAGTAGCTATAGCCCTGTGTGTGAGCATGCTGGTCCATAAGGACCAACACGACACTAGCACGCATGTCCGCATTACCCGGATAGCCTTTCGCAGTCCACCTCAATTCCGTTCCTCTCTCATCAACACATGTGACTACTACACCCGCTTTTACTTCGTAGCAGCTACATCGGTGTAGTGATTTCGTTGGGCATCACACAGAGGGTCACGGTCATCGAACCGAAACAGAGCAGCGTATGTAAACACTAGTCTATCGATCTCTCTCAAAATGGCTGCCAAAACATCCAAATGAATGAATGCGATCCTTCTTCCAAGAAATCAAATTGAGACGAGAACCTCACGTCCGACAAGTGAGTTTCACATGCTAAACCCGTAAGAGAGGTTGCGTTTTCTCCTTGCCGGGCAAACCTTGAAAACGGGCAACCATACATTTACGTGGGTGATAATTCGCGTTGCAGATGTCCCCAATTCTGTAAGTAGTAGTTAAAAAAGTGTTTGATATACGGCATTCCGTGGCTAAGTGGGTCCCCCGATTCCTTCTGCTCATCCACATACTTAAGCAGCCGCGCCCATAATTGGCGGCTGTTAAACTCCTAGGTTGACGCGAGCGCTCAGTAGATGATGCTTGTGGGCGAAGTAGCAAAATCAAAAGTGAGTTTAATATTGTGTGTTATCTCTTCTCTTCTGTGCGCTTGCATCGTCGCTTGCTATCGATTCCTTTACATCTTTACCTAGCTGACCGTCCATTTAACGAACCAATAATCATTTATGGTCACGCTGACCATCTATTTTATTAACCAATCATTGGTCATTGTCGAGTTCCCTTTCTCTCTGATGTGTGTCACAAAGTCTTGGATCGGACAATGGTCGGAGAAGTGGGTACGTCACTGACTGACAGGACAACGCTGGTGAACCCCATCACACCAAGGCCTGAAGGCTTCACTTAATGGATGACACTGGGTCTCGAACGACCTCTGGTATACCTCTGCCGAGGTCTCCCACTTAGTCTGCACCACTGTTCCACCTTATAGCACTTAGTTACTCACATCTGATTGTACTTTCTCAGCGCAATCTGTAACGCACATATACACGCCAGCATACAAACTCCCTCCACATGCACGAGCTGCATCACCTTATGCCAACAGCAGCCATTCATCACAGTTCAATACAAGCCATAAGACATTCTTTTGTGTAGAAACACTGCATGAGCGAACGGAATTTCAGAATAACTAATGGTCTCTATTATTTCTGCGCTCACGGAGTCCACTTGTGGCGCTTTTTATCTTCGTGCGGAAAGTATTGAAGAGAAAGGTCGAGCGTCCATCAAAACGGTGCAGAAGCTTTTGTGAGTGTAAAATAAAGCCGACATGACACCGACATGCGTCGAGCGATGAAAAATGTTTCGTGATGTGAGGTCAGCAGCGGAGCGGATTGTCCTTGTTTAACAGGCATTCGATACGAGTAGTGCGGTACGTTTGCTTTGTATTTGTTTTTTGTTTGCAATAGTGGCTCGAGTGACCGTGTCGGGCATTGTGTGTGCATGAAACGAGCAGCAACGATGAGAGCACCGTTGGTCTAATGGTTAGGATTCATCCCTTCCAAGGATGAGGTCGGGGTTTGATTCCCCGACGGTGCACTTTGCTGTAACACGCAACCTCATCATCATGCTTCAGGCTCTCCTGACTTTTACACTTGCATATTCTTCTGGGCATAACGCCTTAGACGGCGACTATGACGTTCACCGAGTCTGCGACATTACGATTGCGGAGACGAATTGTATAGGGTACGACCGAGTGAGCCTATTTCAAACAGTACACATGTGCGTGAGAGCGTTCGGACTTTAGTAGTGGTCTCATTCGACACCAGCAACACATACAGCAAGCGTATCAAACAGCAGCGGCGCTACTACACTGCGAATAACGTCCGATGCATACGGGATTTCCATCTTTGGAATGGTGGCACCGTGAGACTGGCTGGTGGGAAGTTTGTATTGATCCAAACCGAGCTATGGCGATGTCGTGACCGATGGGAGACTATCCGCGTCGGGATGACGCTGCGTCGGTCCAAATGAGACTATTGGCGTCGATAAGACCGCTCCACCTGCTTGGCCGCGCACACGTTAACTTCGCATTCGTTCGACGTGCTTACATATGATATACGACAGGGTAACCGATACGATGGTACTTATGCAATGAGCGATGAGCTTGACTTGGTTGAGAGAGTGCAGCGAATCAATGAGATTCTTTGACATGAAATTTATAGCACACTATCGACTTCAAACACCAGTCGGCGAAGCAATAGTATACTTGCAACTACAATTGATGTAAAAATCAATCGATGGCGAGCGAATCATTACGTACTCGCAAAAAAAATTGAGAAGCTTTGATTTCCACAAGACTTTCCATTGCACTATTTATGGGACCTATACCATGAACGGTAATCATAAAGCGTCTACTATTCGACTTGTACCGATGACAGATTTCCTGAAGCGTTGTCTACTTGACTGAAACCTCCGGGACCTAAGGTACGGCTGTAATACGTTTATCGGCTGAGTGCAGCCTTCAGTAGTAGCTATAGCCCTGTGTGTGAGCATGCTGGTCCATAAGGACCAACACGACACTAGCACGCATGTCCGCATTATCCGGATAGCCTTTCGCAGTCCACCTCAATTCCGTTCCTCTCTCATCAACACATGTGACTACTACACCCGCTTTTACTTCGTAGCAGCTACATCGGTGTAGTGATTTCGTTGGGCATCACACAGAGGGTCACGGTCATCGAACCGAAACAGAGCAGCGTATGTAAACACTAGTCTATCGATCTCTCTCAAAATGGCTGCCAAAACATCCAAATGAATGAATGCGATCCTTCTTCCAAGAAATCAAATTGAGACGAGAACCTCACGTCCGACAAGTGAGTTTCACATGCTAAACCCGTAAGAGAGGTTGCGTTTTCTCCTTGCCGGGCAAACCTTGAAAACGGGCAACCATACATTTACGTGGGTGATAATTCGCGTTGCAGATGTCCCCAATTCTGTAAGTAGTAGTTAAAAAAGTGTTTGATATACGGCATTCCGTGGCTAAGTGGGTCCCCCCGATTCCTTCTGCTCATCCACATACTTAAGCAGCCGCGCCCATAATTGGCGGCTGTTAAACTCCTAGGTTGACGCGAGCGCTCAGTAGATGATGCTTGTGGGCGAAGTAGCAAAATCAAAAGTGAGTTTAATATTGTGTGTTATCTCTTCTCTTCTGTGCGCTTACATCGTCGCTTGCTATCGATTCCTTTACATCTTTACCTAGCTGACCGTCCATTTAACGAACCAATCATCATTTATGGTCACGCTGACCATCTATTTTATTAACCAATCATTGGTCATTGTCGAGTTCCCTTTCTCTCTGATGTGTGTCACAAAGTCTTGGATCGGACAATGGTCAGAGAAGTGGGTACGTCACTGCCTGACAGGACAACGCTGGTGAACCCCATCACACCAAGGCCTGAAGGCTTCACTTAATGGATGACACTGGGTCTCGAACGACCTCTGGTATACCTCTGCCGAGGTCTCCCACTTAGTCTGCACCACTGTTGCACCTTATCGCACTTAGTTACTTACATCTGATTGTACTTTCTCAGCGCAATCTGTAACGCACATATACACGCCAGCATACAAACTCCCTCCACATGCACGAGCTGCATCACCTTATGCCAACAGCAGCCATTCATCACAGTTCAATACAAGCCATAAGACGTTCTTTTGTGTAGAAACACTGCATGAGCGAACGGAATTTCAGAATAACTAATGGTCTCTATTATTTCTGCGCTCACGGAGTCCACTTGTGGCGCTTTTTATCTTCGTGCGGAAAGTATTGAAGAGAAAGGTCGAGCGTCCATCAAAACGGTGCAGAAGCTTTTGTGAGTGTAAAATAAAGCCGACATGACACCGACATGCGTCGAGCGATGAAAAATGTTTCGTGATGTGAGGTCAGCAGCGGAGCGGATTGTCCTTGTTTAACAGGCATTCGATACGAGTAGTGCGGTACGTTTGCTTTGTATTTGTTTTTTGTTTGCAATAGTGGCTCGAGTGACCGTGTCGGGCATTGTGTGTGCATGAAACGAGCAGCAACGATGAGAGCACCGTTGGTCTAATGGTTAGGATTCATCCCTTCCAAGGATGAGGTCGGGGGTTTGATTCCCCGACGGTGCACTTTTGCTGTAACACGCAACCTCATCATCATGCTTCAGGCTCTCCTGACTTTTACACTTGCATATTCTTCTGGGCATAACGCCTTAGACGGCGACTATGACGTTCACCGAGTCTGCGACATTACGATTGCGGAGACGAATTGTATAGGGTACGACCGAGTGAGCCGTATTTCAAACAGTACACATGTGCGTGAGAGCGTTCGGACTTTAGTAGTGGTCTCATTCGACACCAGCAACACATACAGCAAGCGTATCAAACAGCAGCGGCGCTACTACACTGCGAATAACGTCCGATGCATACGGGATTTCCATCTTTGGAATGGTGGCACCGTGAGACTGGCTGGTGGGAAGTTTGTATTGATCCAAACCGAGCTATGGCGATGTCGTGACCGATGGGAGACTATCCGCGTCGGGATGACGCTGCGTCGGTCCAAATGAGACTATTGGCGTCGATAAGACCGCTCCACCTGCTTGGCCGCGCACACGTTAACTTCGCATTCGTTCGACGTGCTTACATATGATATACGACAGGGTAACCGATACGATGGTACTTATGCAATGAGCGATGAGCTTGACTTGGTTGAGAGAGTGCAGCGAATCAATGAGATTCTTTGACATGAAATTTATAGCACACTATCGACTTCAAACACCAGTCGGCGAAGCAATAGTATACTTGCAACTACAATTGATGTAAAAATCAATCGATGGCGAGCGAATCATTACGTACTCGCAAAAAAATTGAGAAGCTTTGATTTCCACAAGACTTTCCATTGCACTATTTATGGGACCTATACCATGAACGGTAATCATAAAGCGTCTACTATTCGACTTGTACCGATGACAGATTTCCTGAAGCGTTGTCTACTTGACTGAAACCTCCGGGACCTAAGGTACGGCTGTAATACGTTTATCGGCTGAGTGCAGCCTTCAGTAGTAGCTATAGCCCTGTGTGTGAGCATGCTGGTCCATAAGGACCAACACGACACTAGCACGCATGTCCGCATTACCCGGATAGCCTTTCGCAGTCCACCTCAATTCCGTTCCTCTCTCATCAACACATGTGACTACTACACCCGCTTTTACTTCGTAGCAGCTACATCGGTGTAGTGATTTCGTTGGGCATCACACAGAGGGTCACGGTCATCGAACCGAAACAGAGCAGCGTATGTAAACACTAGTCTATCGATCTCTCTCAAAATGGCTGCCAAAACATCCAAATGAATGAATGCGATCCTTCTTCCAAGAAATCAAATTGAGACGAGAACCTCACGTCCGACAAGTGAGTTTCACATGCTAAACCAGTAAGAGAGGTTGCGTTTTCTCCTTGCCGGGCAAACCTTGAAAACGGGCAACCATACATTTACGTGGGTGATAATTCGCGTTGCAGATGTCCCCAATTCTGTAAGTAGTAGTTAAAAAAGTGTTTGATATACGGCATTCCGTGGCTAAGTGGGTCCCCCCGATTCCTTCTGCTCATCCACATACTTAAGCAGCCGCGCCCATAATTGGCGGCTGTTAAACTCCTAGGTTGACGCGAGCGCTCAGTAGATGATGCTTGTGGGCGAAGTAGCAAAATCAAAAGTGAGTTTAATATTGTGTGTTATCTCTTCTCTTCTGTGCGCTTACATCGTCGCTTGCTATCGATTCCTTTACATCTTTACCTAGCTGACCGTCCATTTAACGAACCAATCATCATTTATGGTCACGCTGACCATCTATTTTATTAACCAATCATTGGTCATTGTCGAGTTCCCTTTCTCTCTGATGTGTGTCACAAAGTCTTGGATCGGACAATGGTCAGAGAAGTGGGTACGTCACTGCCTGACAGGACAACGCTGGTGAACCCCATCACACCAAGGCCTGAAGGCTTCACTTAATGGATGACACTGGGTCTCGAACGACCTCTGGTATACCTCTGCCGAGGTCTCCCACTTAGTCTGCACCACTGTTGCACCTTATCGCACTTAGTTACTTACATCTGATTGTACTTTCTCAGCGCAATCTGTACCGCACATATACACGCCAGCATACAAACTCCCTCCACATGCACGAGCTGCATCACCTTATGCCAACAGCAGCCATTCATCACAGTTCAATACAAGCCATAAGACGTTCTTTTGTGTAGAAACACTGCATGAACGAACGGAATTTCAGAATAACTAATGGTCTCTATTATTTCTGCGCTCACGGAGTCCACTTGTGGCGCTTTTTATCTTCGTGCGGAAAGTATTGAAGAGAAAGGTCGAGCGTCCATCAAAACGGTGCAGAAGCTTTTGTGAGTGTAAAATAAAGCCGACATGACACCGACATGCGTCGAGCGATGAAAAATGTTTCGTGATGTGAGGTCAGCAGCGGAGCGGATTGTCCTTGTTTAACAGGCATTCGATACGAGTAGTGCGGTACGTTTGCTTTGTATTTGTTTTTTGTTTGCAATAGTGGCTCGAGTGACCGTGTCGGGCATTGTGTGTGCATGAAACGAGCAGCAACGATGAGAGCACCGTTGGTCTAATGGTTAGGATTCATCCCTTCCAAGGATGAGGTCGGGGTTTGATTCCCCGACGGTGCACTTTTGCTGTAACACGCAACCTCATCATCATGCTTCAGGCTCTCCTGACTTTTACACTTGCATATTCTTCTGGGCATAACGCCTTAGACGGCGACTATGACGTTCACCGAGTCTGCGACATTACGATTGCGGAGACGAATTGTATAGGGTACGACCGAGTGAGCCGTATTTCAAACAGT